CACACCAGCCATCATTGTGGCTGTTTGAAAACTGGCTATTCAGTACCAATTTATGCTGAATTTGAAACAGTTTTACACTGTGGGCTGTGTCCATCATGAAATGTGAGAAGACTATTCAAACTCATTTCACATAACACACTTCCAACCAGCAGGAAGAGAACATTTTTATGCACATGTCTTATCTTGATTTAAGATTAAGACTTAAAAGGGCTACAGGTTAACTCATTTTTATTGAAAATTCTAGACTTTCCCATTTGTTGGCAGGTGAACATATTAAAAGTAAAATTGGTCCATGCCAGTAACTTGAAATATGCTGGTGGCGAATCATGTTCAATTTTATTTTTGATTGATCTCTGTGGTTCAGGAGATTGAAAGGTGATCTCATTGAGATGGATAAGATACTTAGAGAATTGGTCACGGTAAAATGCACTGAGGATGTTTCCCTTGGCCACAGCATCTTGAACTGTGAGGTATCTTCTAGGTTAAAGTGTCAACCACTGAGGACTGAGATGAGGAGAAAGTCTTCATTCTGAGGCATGTAAATCTTACGAATTCTCCAGTGGGTGATGGATGCTCAGTCATAGAGTATATTCAAGACTTATTCAAGTCCTGAGGAAGGGTCACTGCACCCGAAATGTTAACTCTGTTTTCTCCTTCACAGATGCTGCCAGACCTGCTGAGCTTCAACGAATACCGCTCACGCTTGGACATAGAGCAGTTTTTCCGCCGCCTCCGCCTCCACGCTTACTTCTTTAACCGTGAACCTAACCCTCCCTCTACTGACCCCTTCTCCCGCTTCCAACACACCCCCTCCTCCTGGACACCACCCCAAGGCCTCCTACCCTCCCTCGACCTCTTCATCTCCAACTGCCGTCGAGACATCAATCGCCTCAACCTCTCCACCCCTCTCACCCACTCCAACCTCTCCCCCGCAGAACGTGCAGCCCTCCGCTCCCTCCGCTCCAATCCCAACCTCACCATAAAACCCGCGGACAAGGGAGGTGCAGTTGTAGTATGGCGCACTGACCTCTACATCGCCGAGGCCGGACGCCAACTCTCCGACACCTCCTCCTACCGCCCCCTTGATCATGACCCCACCCCTGAGCACCAAACCATCATCTCGCAAACCATCCACAACCTCATCACCTCAGGTGACCTCCCACCCACGGCCTCCAACCTCATCGTTCCCCAACCTCGCACTGCCCGCTTCTATCTCCTTCCCAAAATCCACAAACCTGAATGCCCTGGTCGACCCATTGTCTCCGCCTGCTCCTGCCCCACCGAACTGATCTCCAACTATCTCGACTCCATTTTCTCCCCCTTGGTCCAGGAACTCCCTACCTATGTCCGTGACACCACCCACGCCCTCCACCTCCTCCAGAACTTCCAATTCCCCGGTCCCCAACACCTCATCTTTACCATGGACGTCCAGTCCCTCTACACCTGCATTCCCCATGCAGATGGCCTTAAGGCCCTCCGCTTCTTCCTGTCCCGCAGGCCCGACCAGTCCCCCTCCACTGACACCCTCATCCGCTTAGCCGAACTCGTCCTCACACTCAACAACTTCTCTTTCAATTCCTCCCACTTCCTACAGACAAAGGGCTCTCTGTCTCCATATCGGGCAACCACCTCGAAACCGATATTCATTTCAAGCCCACCGACTCCCACAGCTACCTAGAATACTCCTCCTCCCACCCACCTTCCTGCAAAAATGCTATCCCCTATTCCCAATTCCTTCGCCTCCGCCGCATCTGCTCCCAGGATGAGGCATTCCACTCCCGTACATCTCAGTTGTCCTCGTTTTTCAAGGACCGTAACTTCCCCTCCTCGGTGGTCGAGAACGCCCTCAACCGTGTCTCCCACATCTCCCGCACCTCATCCCTCACACCCCGTCCACGCAATAAAAACCAAAAAAGAATCCCCCTCGTCCTCACGTACCACCCCACCAACCTCCGGATCCAACGCATCATCCTCCGACACTTCCGCCATCTGCAATCCGACCCCACCACCAAAGACATCTTTCCCTCCCCACCCTTAGCTGCTTTCCGGAGGGACAACTCTCTCCGTGACTCCCTTGTCCGCTCCACACTCCCCTCCAGCTCCACCACACCCGGCACTTTTCCCTGCAACCGCAGGAAGTGCTACACCTGCCCCCATACCTCCTCCCTCACCCCCATCCCAGGCCCCAAGAAGACTTTCCACATCAAGCAGATGTTCACCTGCACATCTGCCAATGTGGTATACTGCATCCGCTGTACCCGGTGTGGCTTCCTCTACATCGGGGAAACCAAGCGGAGACTCAGGGACCGCTTTGCAGAACACTTACGCTCGGTTCGCAACAAACAACTGCACCTCCCAGTCGCGAACCATTTCAACTCCCCCTCCCATTCCTCAGACGACATGTCCATCCTGGGCCTCCTGCAGTGCCACAACGATGCCACCCGAAGGTTGCAGGAACAGCAACTCATATTCCGCTTGGGAACCCTGCGGCCCAATGGTATCAATGTGGATTTCACAAGTTTCAAAATCTCCCCTCCCGCTACAGCATCCCAAAACCAGTCCAGCTCGTCCCTGCCTCCCTAACCTGGTCTTCCTCCCACCTATCCCCTCCTCCCACCTCAAGCCGCACCTCCATCTCCTACCGACTAACCTCATCCCGCCCACTTGACCTGTCTGTCCTCCCTGGACTGACCTATCCACTCCCTAACTCCCCACCTACACTTACCTCTACTGGCTCCATCCCCGCCTCTTCGACCTGTTTGTTTCCTCTCCACCTAACCTCTCCTCTATCCATCTTCTATCCGCCTCCCACTCTCTCCCTATTTATTTCAAAACCCCCTTCCCCTCCCCCTTTTCTGATGAAGGGTCTAGGCCCGAAACGTCAGCCTCTCTGCTCCTATGATGCTGCTTGGCCTGCTGTGTTCATCCAGCCCTGCACCTTGTTGTCTCGGATTCTCCAGCATCTGCAGTTCCTACTATCTCTGATATGAGCTTTTCCAGCAACTTTGTTTTTGTTCCTATATTCACGACTAAGTCTGATAGATTTTTGAGCACTTAGATATCAAAAACATAAAGCAGGAAAATTGATCCCATTGAAAAGCAGAGCAGACTTGAAGGGTGATATTACCTACTGATACTCCTATTCCTTATCTTCTGAAACAAAATGAAACATATATCCACCATCAGCCAATTTAAGCTCTATGGGCCACAATTTACACTCAAACCCCAATATTAACTTGTTCAGTTGAGACTTTAACCCATAAGGCAACCAGAGACAGCGGGTGCAGTAACTTTTTTGTTTATTCACTATTGGGATGTGGGCATCGCTGCCTGGATTGACATTTATTGCCCACGACTAACTGCTCTTAAGAAGATGGTGGTGAGCTGCCTCCTTGAAGCACTGCAATCCATTTTGTGTAGGTACACCCACAGTGCCATTAGGGAGGAGTTCCAGAATTAAGAATCAGCAACCCTAAAGGAATGGTGATATATTTCCAAGCAAAGATGGTCAGTAGCTTGGAAAGGAACTTCCATGCATTAACTACGCTTGACTTTCTGGATGGTAGCTGTTGTGAGTTTGGAAGGTACCATCTAAGGAGCCTTAAGAATTTCTGCAGTATATCTTCTAGATAGTACAAAAATCTGAAAGAACTGTGGATGCTGGAAATCAGAATCAAAAACAAAAGCTGAAATCACTGGAAAAACTCAACAGTTCTGGCAGCATCTGTGGAGAGAAATCAAAGTTAACATTTTGAATCCAGTGATGATGCTTTAGAAGTTCCATTTATTGTTGAAGGATTGGAGACATTAGGTCAATCTGTGGGATCGCTTCGCTACGTTCCCATTATATTCATGCTGCTTGCCATGCAAGTAGTCCTGTTTTCTAGCTTCACCAGATTAACACCTCATTTTTAGGTGTGTTCTTGGCATGCTCTTCTGCACTCTTCATTCAGTCACAGTTGTCCTCTGGCTTTATGATAATGGTTCAGTGAGGGATATACCAGGCCCATGCATGCTATGAATGTGTTATAGGATGTCGTTGAATACAATTCTTTTGCTGCTGACCTAAAACACCTCATGGATGCCCAGTTTTGACTTGTTGTATCTGTTCAAAATCCATCCTGTTCAGCTTGATGTTAGTGCCACATAACACTGTGGAGGGTATTGTCAATGTGAAGGTAGAACCTGTCTCCATAAGGACTGCATGATGGCACATTGAGATTGTCCTGGATTGAAATATTGTCTATGGATAGGTTGGGGAGAACAAGTTGAACATTTTCATTTTATTAGTTCCCTCGCCACCTGACACAGGCCTAATCAAGCAATTATGTCCTTAGAATTCAACCAGCTCAGTCAGTTACTTTTGTGTCTTCTGCTGTAAAATGCTTTTCTTTACCCCAATTGGTTAATTTTAAGGTTTTCTATGAGGAATGACCCTTGAAATTCCAGTGTACTGTCAAGCAGGAGACTAGAAACCTCTCACATCCTCTCCAATACCAGTGCCCTTGTGCAGAGTAGCTGAGGGCTGAAGTCTTCACTCATTGTGAGTACATTTCAGTGACTAGCAAGACCCTCCAGAACTGGATCTCCGGCAGAGATGATGCCTTCCACCTCTCTAAGCAATGGCATTCCGTACGGTAGGTCCCAAAAATAAGGCAATCTGATGAGTCAATTACTTTCAACAGCCGAAAAGTATGTACATCTTCATAATGAAAGGTATCCTACAGGCCTGCAGAGTATCTGCTTGATTCCAATCACCCTCTCGTTAAGCCATGAACAAGTTAGACGGATATGCGTCCATCTAACCCTTAATGAACATTAAGTGAGTTGATCGAGACGCTGAGATCTTGAGTTAATACATTTTATTTTAACTAAGCACAGAGCTAGTAGATACTCTTACAATTAAACTTTGACATGTCGCAAACTATTCAGATCAAAAGGCTTTTTTTTAAAATGAACTCTGGTTAACTGGACTTTGGTCGTAAAGTGAGTCATGATTTAATATTCGGTGAGGACGGAATTTCAGAGACAGAGAGCGGCGCCTTTAAGACAAACAGCTGAAATTCTACTCAAGGTGGAATTGCATGTGTCTGGATTTGAGGAATAAAAGTCTCGTTTGCTCGATGCTCGTGAATAATTCGTAATTCAGGCTGTCGGACCAGGGTTTTCAAATAATGGCAGAGAAACCAAACCCGGAGGGGCAGTACTTAGCTGCAGATGTAAGTATATGCTTTATAATATTTTTGTTTTCTTGCTGGAGTTGAACATATGGGTTTTAAGAGATGTTTCTTTTGCACTGGGAAAAAAGTTAGAGTTGCTTTGTTTAACTTTGCTTTAGCTGTTTTAAGTACTTTGTCAGCGGTACCAGAAGAAAGTTACGAATTTCGTTCGTTGTACATTTGCAGGTCTTTGCTACGAAAGGCAAACGCATCCACCGCTGGAGCTATGTGAAGTTTGTCACACTGCTGGCCCTGATGGTTATGTTGCTACTGCTCGGTTCGTTTGGTGCTCACTACTGCTGGGAGCAGAGGGAGAGCAAGGTGAGAAACTACTCTGGTTAACAACTTAGCTTCGATCAGTGTTTGATTGCTGCACTCAATCCGAGTCCACTGGGATATTACTATTTAAAAATAAAAACAAAAATGAACTGCGAGGGTCAAAGCTACAAACAAACAAAAAAATTTCGACATTTCAAGATTCAAGTTACCATGGTGGGATACTTATCTTCCCAGCGGTGCTAGGAACACGGTATTAATGACATCTTTGCGACTCGAACACAATCTTTTTCTCACTTTCACCCGTTTCCAAGTTTTTGAAAATTGTCACGACCCGTCAGATTTGAGGGTCTACTCCAAAAATTCGTCCAAAAGTCCGTCCCAACTCAGGATTCCTGAGCCCCCAAACCACTCCCCATACCCTTATCCAACAAATCCTGTAATGTGCAGCACAGGAATCAGTGGTATCTTGGTCCAAATGGTAGGAAAAGGGGTGAAATGTTTTAATTATCATGTCTTCAAAGTATGTTCAAGAATATGTAATTCTCCTTGGGACTGAAAGTTTCAGGCTGGTAGTTACTGACTGGTAATCTTAAAATAATAACTGCTAATGTGTAGCATGTCCAGGGACAATTTTAAAAAGCCAAGATTTTTTAAAGTATCTTTTATAATCTCAGGATTCCCTAAATCAGTGTACAACCAAGTAAGCAGCTCCAAAGTGCACTTGCTGTTGTGCTTAGTAAGTTTCCACATATATATGGTTTTGGACAGACAGCTTTGTTTATAGTTGATGTTGTTTGAGGGATAATTATTGGGCAGAATACTGGGGGTGATCTCTGGTACACTTCTTCAAAATAATGCTGTGAGATCTGTCACATCCACCTGAGAGGCCAGACAAGGCTTTGATTTAACAGCTTATCAGAAAGATATCCCCTCTGACAGTTCAACACTCCTTCAGTTAGATTTTGTCTGCAGCCTCTGAAATAGAACTCGAGCCCATGACCTTTATGTTTCAGAGGTGAGACTGTAATCTCTGAACCAATGCTTCCATCAAAATAGCAGGTGAAGGAATATTAGGCCATAATGTTCAACATCCATCTGCCAATGTCACTAACAGAACTCTGTAATTGTTAGTGCTCAAATTATGTCATGATTTCCATGCTGTACTGGCACCCATACCAGTATTTATATATGAATAATAAACTGCAGACTGGCAATTTAGTGATCGCCCATCAGGATCGAATGTGGAATTTCATGGAATTGGTGCTAATTGAACCAGATTAACAAGCAGCCAGACTCCGAGCTGTGTCATGTGCTGAGAAGGTATCCACAGGTCACTTGTACCATTTGACTCATGCTATAAATGATCGGAATGGCCAAGTCTTCTCCTTTTGCCTTCTGTAGGGGCAGCTGCCCGACTTGGGGAAGAGGAGGTAAGGATGTGCCATGGGGAAACCAATAGGGCTGTGTTCCTCAACATCCTTTGCAAGGGAGGTAATGGTCTAGCGGTATTGTTGCTGGGCTGTTAATCCAGACAACGTTTGAGGACTTGGGTTTGAATCCCACCATGGCAGATGGTGGAATATCTGGAATTAAGAATCTAATGATGACCATGAATCCATTGTCGATCGTCGGAAAAACCCATCTGGTCACTAATGTCCTTTAGGGAAGGAAACTGCCATCCATACCTGGTCTGGCCTCCATGTGACTCCAGACCCATAGCAATGTGGTTGACTCTTAACTGCCCTCTGGGCAATTAGGGATGGGCAACAAATGCTGGACTAGCCAGCAATGCCATCCCGCAAATGAATAAAGAAGAAAAAAACACGCCTGGAGCCATGAAAAGGGGACGGCGTATTATGTTGCTGCATTTGGTTCAAGGACTTAACATCCTCCCTCTACATATCCTGTCAGAGATTTTGATGGCTAGCTGTCATTACTGAAAGATATGTTCAGACATATTTACAATGTCAATTGCATTAAAAAGGCAACTTGTCTTTTAATTTCGCCAAATGAGAAATTTGTCCAAAGTTGGAATAAGATCAACTGGGGATGTGGGAGTGGGATGGGGGAATGGGTCAACAGGCAGCTTTAAAGGGACAGGAGGCCTGAAAAGCAGCTACTTAGTTCTGGATGGTTGCATAAATTAGCTCAGGTCTCACACACAGTCAAGAAAGGATTGCATTCAGGCTATTGAATTGGGACAATGAAATTCCAACTTTAGGGCTTTTTGACACAAGGGAAAATGTGACAGAAGGGACTCCGAGGATAACAGCCTGCTGAAGTGGGTTGGGACTGGCCTCGTTGGGCCCTGAAGATTCATTCCCTGGAGTACGGGATAAATTGTGTGCCCCAGGAGCTGGGAGGCTGGATAAAGTGGGTGTGATCATGTGGCTGAGCTGTAAACACCACAGTGATCAGATTTTGCAGCATTTCCATGTGTTTGAAAAGTTGTGTGTTTTGTTAGGGTGCCTTTAACATTGGTCCACTTAATTAGCCTCACACCGAAGAAATTGCATTGCGGATACTGATCGGTCCATTTAGTACTAGTGTGGCTGGAGTCTGCATGACAATACTCCCCATTATTTGGTAGGACTACTCAATAAATCTTTCTGATCGGGCTTTCTTTGGAAACTCCACAATAATTCAGGTTTATGGCTTCAAGCATGGCTTTTTCTGTTATTATTAAAGTGCTTACACAGTACATGTTTGTAGCCAAAAGAAATGGTCAACATCTGACTGTGTAATAAAAGCCTTCCAGTTGTGTGTCTGACACTGGCTTTACTCATGAATCCATCTTTGGGAAAAGAAAATCTATTTGGAGGGCAAAGCTACAGTGAGCAAATGTGCACTCCGTGCTCCACTGCATAGCACTGACCAGGAAGCCTCATTCTTCATGTGTGCCTAGTTCGCTGATCTCAGCAAAAGCAAAAGTGGACCATTACAATTTGTCTCAATACTCTAGATTTCAAAAGGTACAGGGAGAAAATCTTCGTGACCAAAATTCAGTAATCTCCTGAAAGTGTAAGATTGTATTAATCGACTAGATAAGGACCACAGCTCACTTCTCTGAACTAAATATATATGTAAACGTTCACTTTTTTTTTTAGAAACGTCTCAAGCATGCGCAAGCAGTTTGAGTTTGACTTGGTTGAGGTGGCCTACTCAATGAGATGTAAGAGCAGAAGTATGCCATTTGGCCATCAAGTCTGCTGTGCTATTCAACGAAGTCATGGCTGATCTGATAGAATATTTCACACCCTTGAAGAGCTAAATGGGGTTTTCAAATTCCTTCCATCACCTTGTTTCTGCCTGCCTCTGTCATCATCTCTAAGATTCCTCTCCACTTGCAATACTTCTCTGCAATAACAGAAAAAACTCTGGCCTCTTGAGCAGTCCAACTTTCACCATGCCAGCACTGGCCTTCAGCAAGTCATAGGGTGGGGACATTTTTCCATAACCATCACCACCTCTCTCTGTCTTCCTTAAAGAGGGCCCCTGAAACCACCTCTTTGACTAAGCTTTTTGGCACATGTCCTAAATATCTCTTTCTGTGATTTGGTGAAATTGTCTGACTATGCAGTGGTCTATTATGTTGGAAGCACTACCTAAACCAGTAGAAGCTGCTATGGAGGAGGAGACAAATTAGTTTGTAACGAATTAGCCTGCACTGAATTGGCTATTTAGAACTGAGACGAGGAGAAATGGCTTCACTCAATGGGTCGCCGGCCTTCGGTAATTCTCTACCACTGAAAGTTTGTAGGCTCGTTCATTGCGAATATTCAAGTCAGAGGTTTTTGATAACTCGGAGAACCAAGGTACAGAGGATAGTGTGGGAAGGTGTAATGGAGATAGAAGATCAGTATGATCTTACTGAATGGTGAAAGAGACTTGAGGGCCTGAATGGTCTACTTCATCTTTTACTTGATCATACATGTTCATTATATGCACACTTTTTAAAAAAATAGAAATTAATTTATAGTTGCAGGCAGGACGTCATACTCCTTGTGCGACAGAAATTTATTTTATTCTTTCTCGGTTATGTGTATGACATTGGCTGGGCCAACGTTTATTACAAATCCCGAATTGTCTTTTTGAAGTTGGTGGTAAGCCACCTTTGGGAACTGCAGTCCTTGGTGTAAGGGTACATCCGTATGTGGGAAAGGAAGTCCAGCAACCATGAAGGAACAACTACATAGTTCCAAATCCAGATGGTGCATGATTTGGAGGAGACCATGCTGGGGTGATGCATCTGCTGCCCTTGTTGGTCTAATTAGCAGCGGTTACAGGATTAGAAGGTCCTGTTAAAGTAGGAGAAATGCAGCTGCTCCAGTTGTATAGGAGCTGAGCGAAACTCATCCACTTATTATGCTGCTAATAGGTTTTGGCCGCACAACATCTTTATAGTGTTATGCCTGGATATCACCTAACAAAACAGGGTTTTATTAGGGGTCTGTTACAGAGTGTTTGGTATATTATTTCTACTAATGAGGGAACCATAAATTATGCATGGTCAGTCAGAGCTCACAGCATAAGATTGACACAGTGCTGCTGTGACATAATGTGGTGATAAGAAATGGATTACTCATGTTAATAAGCTTGTCATCTCAAGTCTTATACAGCTAGGATTGAAGTTAGAACATAGAACATAGCTGCTACTGTTTTGGGATACCATGCTTTCTAATTCAGCTGAGAAATGATTGATGCTGTCAACCAAAGCAAAGTACTACATTTTCCTTTGGTGCCAGGATTTAGCTTCACATCCTGGCCGACATTTAACCCTCCGACATATTTAAAAAAGAAGCATTGGGCTGAACTTTACCAGAAATCAGCCAAGTGTCAGTTTCGGAAAGGACCATGAAGGGTTTCATTCTGTGAGGCCCCAGTGAGATTTCTCATACATTTTTTTCTGAAACTTACCTCATTACCTATGCACCATGCTTCTATGGCACTCACTGTATCTTTCATCTCGCCAAAGGCTGACACCTCCCGGGATTCCCGGTGCCATACTTAATACACAGGTTTTTTTTTTAATCAGCTTAAAG